TTCGTCCTGTAAGTGAAGCCAATCTATGCTGAAAAGCCGAGAAGCACTGTACAGCTGTTTCATCTTTATTGGGAATCATCAGCAGTACGCACCTCACGAAACTCGGAAGAGTCTCGAACCCGCGACCTCCCGGCTAGTAGTTTGAACACTTAACCGTTCGGCCACGAGTGCCTGATCAGCAGTGTGATTAACTCGCACTTAGACAGGATATAGCGCCGCTCATCCTTAAATCACGGGATTCACACCACGCGGTCACACATGCTGACTGGCTCCTCGATCGATGACATCTCAGACGGAAGTTTTGCTCATCGGGTGAAGTTTATTCTTCCCCTGAGATGCTTGTATATCGTTGGTAGTTTTAGGAGATTCGGGAAAAATGGTCGGTTGATGTCAGCGCTTTCCACGCTGTCAGTTTCTACCCACATCGCCCAACTGGGTGCTAGCAGTTTCCCCTCTTACATGTGTTACCCCAGCCCCAGGTCTCTCCGCTTCCTTTCGTCTTCTAGCCAACACAATCCTCTATCAAATTAAATTGAAATGGTTGTACGGAAGGAGACCATCAGTGTGCTCATCTGTCAGTGAGGATGACGACCAGATGTATGATACGAGGCACGGTTTGCTGTATTTCACCTAGGGGTGCGTTCACCCGGTGGAAGTAAGGTAACAAATTCTGGATTCGACCAAAGTATCTATGTTTTCGATGGCGGGGCAGTAACAAATGTTACATAACACTGGAGAAAACGTATGTATGCATCCTATCCGCTTGTAACATCAGTCTCTTGTTAATCAAACGAAACATATTTTCGTAAGACATTACGATTGGGTAGACTTTTGAGATACATGACATCGTAGAACTTATTCAGCTTATTCAGGGATGCACATGATGGTTGAAAAGTGAGGAAATGTTCCACGATTCTTGAAGAGCTGGTTAAAACGCTCATATCGTCGCAATCCTAATGTTGGGATTATTAGAGCACCGGGTATTTCTTCAGTGTCCGTAACCTCTAAGATAGGGGCGAGATGGCTCAAGTGGTTAGAGCGCGAATTTACTGACTGAGAGGCCCGTGCTCCGAACCCGACTTCTGCATCTCGACTTCCCCTGTCTAGGCTTGGGCAACCTGGTAGTATCCCAGACTTCGTGCCTGCTTCGTGTGGCATGGCAGCTAGCAGCGAAAGGGTGTTATATATTATAATCCCTAACCGGAGAGACGTAGTTGAGCCATAAGATGAAGGCTAGGACCTTTGCGTCCGAATTACGACAGTTCAATAGAGAATGAACAACGATGTCAGGGTCTTGACGCTAGAACGAGGGACACCAGTGACCTTACCGACTGGTAATTACATTCATATTACTCTCACGTAAACAGTTCTTCTGGTGTCCTCAGCAACCAATATTCTGAATCCAAACAATAACGGAGAAACCGAACCCGAGTTGTCCTTTGTTGAACTTGCTGGGATTTGAACCCCGGACACTTGACATGGGACCCATGCGTGCCAGTCCAACACACGATGAACACTTGAGCGACGTCAATTTTGGTATGTCGAATTTAGCAGGCCTGCCTTGATTTAATACACACTTACACTGGAATGTTCAACCGTGGTAGTGTGCACGGATGAAAAGTGAATCGGCTGAGATCGCCATGTACCGAAACGTGTCGATTGATGTTTCAGTTGACCGTTACTCGAAAATGCAGGGATGTTATCTGAACTTATCCGTTTTTGAAAGTTGCGAT